CTGGGTTACTGCAGCGATACAGTAAGTCTTGAGACTGGGGAGGCTGATTCCTCCCACTTTATGTTTCTTCTTAAAAATTGTTGTATCTATTCTAGTTCCATTGCCTTGCTGTATCGATTTTAGAATAATCTTGTCTGTATCTACAAAAATTCTGTCTGTAATTTTGAAAGGAATTATGTTAAATCTTTATTTCATTTGACACAAATGGCATCTTTATTATGTTGAGTCTTCTAATCCATGAATCCAGCATGTCTCTCCATGTGTAGCCTCACAATTGATTTTTATATATTTATCTTGCATCCTGTGACCTTGATGAACTCACTTATTGGTTCTAGGAGTTTTGTTTTGTTTTGTTGTGTTTCTTGATTCTTTGGAATTTTCTACATAGGCAATCACGTCATCTGCAAATAGATACGGTTTTATTTCTTTCTTTCCAATCTGTAAGTATTTTATTACCTTTTATAAAACTCTATTTCACTGGCTAAAAGTTTCTGCACCATCTTTACAAGTGCTGGGAGTGGATATCCTCGCCTTGTCTATAACGTTAGAGAGAATCAGTCTTTCACCATTAGAAATAATGTGAGCTGCTGCGGATTTTATTTTATTATTTTTTTTTTTGTAGGTTCTCTTTATTAAGTAAAGGAAGTTCCCCTCTATTCATTGTTTTCTAAGAGCTGTTATTCTGAAAGGGTGTTGAATTTTGTCAAATGCGTTTTCTGCATTGATTGATATGATCATGTAATTTTTCTTTTTAACCTGTTAATATGGCTGGTTTTTGAATGTTGAACCATTTTTTTAATCCCTGAAATAAGTTCCTTCTGGTCATGGTGCATAATTCTTTGTATATGTTACTATTTGCTAATATTTTGTCAAGGACTTTTGTGTCTGCATTTATGAGGGATGGTGTTCTGCAGCTGTTTTCCATGTGTTGTCTGTCTTGCTTTGGTTGGAAAGTGTTTCCTTCTCTTCTGTTTTCTATAAGAGATTATGGAGAGCTGGTGTTATTTCTTCTTTAAACACATAATAGAATTTTCCAGTGAAACCATGTGGACATGGAAAACTCTTTTTGGAAATTTTTAAAATTGAAATTCTGACATTCTTGGTAGGCATAGGGCTATTAAAGTTGTTTATTTTATATTGGGTTTGTGTTTTTTTTTTCTTTTAGAAATTGGTTTATTTCATCTATTTTGTCAAATTTATGCGTGTAGTTCTGTTCATAGTATTCCCTTATTACTCTTTGATGTCCACAAGGTGGGTAGTTACAGTCTGTGTTTTTACTCCAGATGCTGGTAATTTGTGCCTTCTTTTTTTTTTGTTTGTCAGCCTTTCAAGAAGTGTCTCAATTTTATGACTGTTTTGTAAAAACCAGTCCTTTTTTTCATTATCTTTCTGTTTCAATTTCATCAATTTCTGTTCCTGTCTTAACTCTTGTCATATACTAGGTTCATGAAGTTTGAGCTTAGATGTTTGATTTTAGATGTTTCTTCTTTTCTAATGTATGCATTTAGTGCTGTAAATGTTCCTCTCAGTACTGATTTAGCTGTGTCCCACAGATTTTAATATGTCGTGTATTTTCATTCTCAGTTCAGTGTGTTTTTAAATCTGCCTTGAAACTTCCTTTTTGACGCATGGATTGTTTAGAAGTGTGTTGTTTAGTTTCTAAGCACCTGGAGAACCATTTCCCATTGTCTTTCTGGTATTGATTTCTAGTTCAATTCACTGTGGTCAGAGAACACACTCTAAGTGATTTAAATTTCTTTGCATTTGTTGAGGTTCACTTTATGATCCAGGATATACTCCATCTTGGTTTATATTTTGTGGGTACTTGAAAAGAACGTGTGCAGTGCTGTTGTTGCATAAAGCATTTCAGAAATGTCAATTTGAATATGTGAGTCGATGGCACGGTTGAGTAGTTGGAGGTGCCTGGTGGATTTTTGGCTACTTGTTTTGTCAACTGTTGAGAGAGGGGTGATGAAGTCTGCAACAGTAAGTATGGACTTGTCTCTTTCTTCTTTTAGTTCTATGAGTTTTGCTTCACATATTTTCAGCTCTGTTGTTTGGTGCATACACATCAACTTGCCTCTATTGTTATATTTGAAGTAAGCTTCTCATAGACAGGATACAGTTGTATCATCAGTTACGATCCATTCTGCTAGTCGCTGTCTTCTAATTGGTATATTAGGCCATTTACGTTTGATATAAGAATTAATATGTTAGTATTATTTTTCTGGTATTATTTTTCTAGGGCTGCGGTAACATCGTATCACAAATGGGTGGCTTAAAGCATAGAAATTCATTCTCTCACACTTCTGGCAGCCAGAAGTCTGAGATCAAGTGAGACTGGGAAGGTAGGAAATCCAATAAAATGTATGTTAACAAGAAAGTTATTATCGTGGGCAACTGGAACTCAGTTCTCCTGAGGAACTTCTGAGAAATGGGGAAACTATATTGGATTTTCCTACCGTGAAGGAAGAGCCCAGGCCATTATCCCATCAATAGCTATCCATCTTAACTGGGTAGGGTGATTCACCTGCACATCTGTCTTTCACCAGTGCATGACAGGGGAAACACATAAAAGAGAATACAGGCAGTTGAGGTGGGAAGCAGTGAATCTGTCACTGGGCCAGGAAGTGTCTATGACAGCCACAGGTGGGTTGAGAGGGTTGGTGATCAACAGCTTCAACCAGAGTCCACCCCTTGCACTGCACTGACCTGCTCATGCTTTAAATTGAGTCCCTTCAAAAGGGTGGCCAGCCATGCTCTCTAAAATAATTAAAACAGATGGTTAGTAACACAACCTACAGTCCCCATTGTCCAGTGGGTCTTGCAGCCTTCACTGATATTCATCTTAATCCAGCTTCCCCACCCTTTCTTAATGCACCTCAATCCCAGCCAGCATGACTTCTATCTGGGTACTTCTTTGGTGGGTCCATCAAAACCTTCTATACCCAAATGTTTAGTAGAGCCCAGGCACTATCCCCTTCAGTGAGGCACCTAGGAATTAGCAGGACTGAAAAGCTGTGACCACCTTGACATTCAAGGGCAAGGGAAGTAAGCAATGTCACCAGAAGTGGTGAGAGCTCATGCTGTGGAGTGGGGACAGCCCAACAGGGACCACCATCAGAAAGGAACACAGCCATTCAGAGAAGTGCCTCAGAACACAGAGCAATGAGGCAGGATATCTCTCCCCTACCAGTGCTGACCCCAGCCTTCTGCCCTACTGTCTCCTGATGGCATCTACCCTCTGCTGACCCTGACCTCCAGTTCTACCATCTATTTATGGTGTCTGCACCAGTTCAACCCAACCAGTATGTAAAAGAACACAGCTGGAGACTCCTTAGAGGTCAGCTATGGGTGGGTAAGATGGATGGGCCATGGGAGGCACCTGGATATGACCAATTACACTGACAACAGGACCTATGGTTGGCAGCCCAGTTCCCTCAGTCGTCTGCCTGTGCTGTTCCACTGTCTTTTGCAAGGGGTGAATTCCATATGCCAACCTGTAAAGTGCTTAAGGCAGTGATTCACAAATAACAAGTGAAATACCATGTGACTGGGGTCCAGTCAACCAGAACAGGGGAAAGATAATATTCCCAGTGATGTGAATGCTCCAGCCTGATCAGTGATCTCTGGTCCTAAAAGAGCACAGGCCCTGCCCTGAACCATCCAGGGAGGGCAGCCTTTCTGCTCAGCAGTACCTCCCACACAGAGTCCAGCACTCGATCATGCCAGCACCTTCAGGACAGCCCCCAGGGTTTATGAGAGAGTGCTTTTAATGGTTATTTAGTGAGTACCTGGGGCACCCAATCTTGGGAGAGAGAGGCACAAGGACACCATTCTGCAGCCCCAGCACCTGCCTACAGTGCCTGGGTCAGCCCTGGTTCTCAGGGCAGATGATGCAGGCCCAGGCACTGCAGGGGCAGGTGGTGGAAGGCAAGGTGCTTGCTCAGGAGGTGGCTGTGCATGCACCCAACAGAGCTGAGTGCCGAGAGGAGCTCATCCATGATCTGAACACAGGCCATCACGTGGCCTGTGTGCCTCATGTGCCCATTTACCTAGAGGGTAGAAGACATGAGACCTGTCTTGGGGGAACGTGGGCCATCAAAGCTGATGAGGGAGATGAAACCCTGGGGAATTCAAGGCTTTCATTCTAGAGGAATTAAATTTATGGAGATGCACGGGTGTGTATTCATGGCAGGTGATGTGCCATCTGGTCCCTGAATGCCAACCCTAGTGGGAAGGTGGGGAGGAAGCCAGCATTGACGGAGCCTGGTTCAAGTCAGGGAAGCTGGGGGCTCCCTGCATTGTCTTCACAGGTCTTCACGATGATCTCCAGTATTGGAAGGCATAGGTCCCCTTGTGGGAGAAGAATCCTCTGAGGCTGGCAGAGATTAAGTAATCTGCTTTATTTATTTAGGGGACAAATATAAAATGACCACCGTCAAGTGGCTGGATCTCTCCGCACAGGCATGAGAATTGAGTGAACCACAGGAATGAAGCCTCTACTTTCGGGAACTTAAATTCCAGCACCAGAGATGGGCCGTGAGCACGTGTAGGAATGAATGAACAAGGCGACCCCGGAGTGACAAGTGCTCTAGTGAGCCTACCCCAAGCATGGGGCATAGAACCGAGTGGGCAGGAGGCCACCTTCTGTACCTTAAAGTGCCCCGCGGTGCCCCCACACACCCGCTCCAGTAAGTCCCCTGTGGACGGCTCACCTGTGAGTGCACACCTGAGGTGGTGTCAACACCGGGCAACATTATGCATCTTTTATTCTCTGGGTGACACTTAATTGTTACTCATCAGATCCCAATGACACTGACATTCAAACTTCCCAGATGCAGAGTTGGCCACCACTGATGGGGGCGGGCCGCGGTCTGTGCCAAGTGCTCACGGCCGCCAGCCAAGGGGCTATAAGGGGCATCGTGTGAGAAGCCGGCCCAGCCTAGTCCAGACGCCTCAGGTGACCAGCCGGCAGGGGTGACCACAGAGCCCTGGAGATGGAGACCCTGTTCCTGACCGTTGTGCTGGGTCTGGTCGCTGCCCTGCAGGCCCAGGACCCCCTGTCCTTCACCTCGGAGGAGCAGGATGTGAGGCTGGGCCGGCGGGTGGGTGTAGGAGAAAGGCCGTGGGGCCTGTTTTAGGAGACACCATTTAAGGTTGGGGTTCCGACCCTGCGCTCCTGGTGTGGAGTAGTCAGAGGACAGACAGGGGATTCTGTTATTCTGCCAGCAGACACGGCACCTCCGGGGGCACAGGGCTGGAGCAGCGCAGCAGGTTTGGCTCAGGGGTCCTACTGCACTGACACCCAGAACCCGAAGGCCTTGCAGGGCAGGGCCCTCTGGAGTGAGGGCCCTGGGCTTGCTCTAACTGAGCACAGAGGTGCGGATGAGCTGGAACACTGTCTTTGGGGGCTGCAGCCGGGCCCTGGGGCGTGTGGTTATGGCTGCAGCCCATGTGCAGGGGACATAGAGGAGAGTCTGGGCTGCGCCTGAGGAGGACGCATGCCTCGGCCTGTTCCACGTCACAGGGACCTGGTACGTGAAGGCCATAGTGACTGACAGGGAACTGCCGGAGGGGAAGAGGCCCAGCAAGGTGTCCCCCGTGACAGTGACAGCCCTGGAAGGTGGGGACTTGGAGACCACATTCACCATCATGTGAGTGTCACCCCCCCACCAGCCCCTCAGGCCCCCTTACCTCCCCCTCCCCCATCTAAGTTTTGGGGGTTAGTGTAAAAGGCCCCCCTGACTTAGTGCAAAATCGTTCCCAGGTGGCATCCTAGAGCTCAGCTGGGGGGGACATTATCGGGCTCACGGGGCCAGGGCCAATGTGCCAGGTGAGCTGAGACTGGCTCAGGTGTGTCTCAGAGTTGCTGCCACATGACTCCTGTTTTCCAGGAAGGCGGGTCAGTGTCATCAGAAGAAAGTACTGATGCAGAAAACCGAGGAGCCGGGCAAATACAGCACCTGTGAGTCCCGGGCGACTGTCCCCAGCCCACCTGCAGGGCAGGGTGTCTCCTGCACAGTCTTTCTGCTTGAGGGTCCCTGCCTCATCCACCTCCCAGGAGGGGCTGACCTCTCCCTCCCAGGGTCTTGTGGCCCTGACCTGAGACACCAGGTGTGACGGGTTGAGGATCAGGGAAGCTGAGCTGGATGACCAAGCTCTGGCCTCTGGTGACTCTGTAGCCTGGGTGGGCACCTTCCTGGGAGGGGGCTCCTCCCCCAGTGTTGGGGTCCATGGCCAAGGGGCACGGCAAGGCCGGGGCTCAGGCTGGCTGGCTGCCTGGGGACCGCCAAAATATTCCAGAGTGCTCCTTAATGAGGTGTCCGGTGCTTTCTCCAAAAGGAAGACACTAAAGGTATATTTTCTCTGTCGTCCACAGATGGGGGCAAGAAGCTCATGTATCTACAGGAGCTGCCAGTCAAGGACCATGACATCTGGTACTGCGAATTCCACCACCACGGAAAACCGCTCCGCATTGGGAAGCTCATGGGTGAGGGGCCCTGGAGACCTGCGTCTCCCACCCCCATGTCTCTGTTTCCAGCATCAGACACATGCTCAGGGGTCATAGAAAGCCCCCTGCACTGGCCTTCCTGTGCTTGGTCCCCTGTGCTGCCCGGTGGCCAACCCGAGCTCCCCAAGTGGGAACCAGGCGGACGGGGCAAGGCCTTTCCGGGACAGGGCCAGACATGACCCTCAGTGACCTGACCACTCACGAGGGGGTTCACAGCTGCCGAGTGCTGCTTCCTGGGGTCTTGGGTGTCAGGCGGAGCATCCTGACAGTGGCCTCCGTGGGGCAGGGACCCTCCAGGGGGCCAGGGCAGCCAGTGCCTTTGGGACATGAGGTCATTCCAGGTCAGGGGCATGACACAGAAGGGCAGCTTCCAGAGCCTCCTGGGTCCCCCGAGTTTTCTCAGGGGTTTGGGGTGTCCCCACTGCTCTCCTTCCGGGGCCCTCTTAGCTGGGCATCAGCCATCTCCTCTGTCCCCTGTCCCCACCTCAGAGCTCTGCGTCCACTCTGTGGCTTCCCCTCATGCCCTCGGCCACCCCACAGTGAAGCCCCCCATGGAGGGTGGTGGCCGTCTCCTCAGGGCATCGGCTCCCTGCAGAGCCATGCAGCCGTCCCCCACTTGGCTCACCTGCCCAACTCACCCACACGTAGGAGTCCCGACGTGAACACAGAGGCCCTGGAAGAATTTAAGAAATTCATACAGCACAGGAGACTCCTGGGGGACATTTTCACACTCACGCAGATGGGTGAAATGGCATCCTCTGTGGGGGAAATGGCATCACAGTGATGTGTCACAGGGCTGCCAAGGCTCTGCCTTGGGTCTTGGTTGTCGAGGGTCTGAGCTGTGGGCAGTGATGGGGTCTGGGCTGGTGACCAGGGCATCCTCTCACCCCCGGGTTTTTGTCCCTACAGAAAGCTGCATTCCCCGGGGATATTAGGGTAAGTGACTCTTTGGGAGGACGTTGGAAAATGCTGTGTTCATGGAGTTCAAGTGTCTGTCTGATCTGTCCCCCTCCCATCCCACACAGGCAGGAGAGACCCTGCCTGGCTGTCACCTCAGGAATCTGACCTGAGTGTGACTCCTGGGACAGGTGGAGATTCCTTTCCTTTACGTGCGTCCCACACCCTTCCTGCCAGGGAAGTCCTCTGGGATCTTTCACAGCCCAGGCCTCGTGGTGGGCTCCCTCCCATGTCAACTCTACACCTGGTCTCCATCGCTCCAATCCCCTGGCCCGCACACCCACCGAGGATGCCCAGCAGCCTGCCTGCTCAATGGAGGGGCCGGGGTTGCTCTCGAGCTTCCTGGCCCAGCAGTGACCGCATGTGGCTCCCGTGACAGCCCCTGCCCCTGCCCAGTGCTCCCAACATGGCCCCACTGACCCCTGCTCGTCTTCCCATCACAGCAGCCACCGTGGCTGCACCTCCGGAGCCCGCCCTGCTGCAGGACACAGAGCCCCACCCCCGCCTGGACCAGCCTCTGCCACAGCAGCAGCCCCTGCTCCCCCCGCCCCGCCTGACTCCAAATAAAGAGCTTCAGCAGCAGCCCTGGACTCGGCCTGTCTGTAAAGGGGACCTTGGTGTTGGCTCCCTGGAGGTCTGATGAGACTCAGTGGGGAGATGGAGCCACAGGGGAAGTTAGGGAGATGTTGGAGCCCTCAGGGGCCAGATCCCAAGGAGCATGGCGTCCGACAGGCCTGTAGGGATGCGGGTTGTCCTGGAGGCCCATCAGGGCAGCTCAGTGTCAGGGTCCACCAGCTCCTGCTGCCCCATCCAGGGCAACATTCCCGGATTCCTCCACGGGCTCCACATGCACCTGCTCCCTGTAAACCAGGGGCTTCTCTCAATTCCTCCAGGGAGACCTGGTGTGGGTCCTCTCCCGAGGACACCCTTGCTCTGCTTGGGGGCTCCATTCTGCAGTAGATGGGGTGGTGGTTGCACAGCACCAAGAATGCACATCATTGTCTCTGAACTGTGGAAGTTTCAGTAACTGAAAAGTTAAATTTTATTAAAAACCAAGTTCCTGGTACAAATACAAACAACAATGGGCAACAGGAAAGGATGGTGGAGGCCACCAGCGCGGGGACCGGGGCGGGCGTGGGGTCAGCGTGGCTCTGCCTGGCTGGGCTCTGGGTCCTCCAGCCGGGTCAGGAGGAGGGGGACGCGGAGTGCCAGGGCTGAGTGGGGCACGTTCAGCAGCACGTAGGCCATCACCTGGTTTAGGCAGCTGAGGTCCGAAGGCTGGCAGAGATCCTCCGGGTAGAGGTCCAGCCAGCAGCCCAGGAAGGAGCAGACGGTGCTGGGGTTGGGCGGGCACAGAGTCAGAGGCCACCCGGGCCCACGTGCCGCTGGACCCGGAGGGCTGAGGGCGAGGCCCAGGTGTGAGCCGGCCGCTCCCCAAACCTCCTGTCCACGGCCCCCAATACAGGACGGGGGTGGGCAAGCCTGGCTTGGACGGGACTGTGGGGATGGATTGTCACAAAGGCCAGCTCTGTGCCCCCAGCCTCCCCTGTGCTCCCCTGGGTGCCCGGGACCCGCCCCAGCTCTCTCCTCCTTTCCTCCTGGGGGGAAGCCCCA